ACAACAGGGTGGCTGAAGAGCCTGCAAGGGGAGGTGGTGCCCGAGACGGAAGAGTATGGCGTGTCAAGCTTTGTGTACCGTCGACAGCGGCCGTTCCACCCACAGCGGTACGTACGATGCATGTGGATGTGGATGTGGATGTGTGGATGATGGGTGTGTGTGGATGTGGATGTGGATGTGGATGTGGATGTGTGATGTGTGTGTGTGGATGTGTGATGTGTGTGTGTGGATGTTTGTGTGTGTGTGTGTTTGACTGCGTGCGCTCGTAGCACGCCTGCGGACGAGAGCCATGCCTTCACACACACACACCAGCCTCGCTCATCTCATATTACCGTATCTCCATGTCTTGCTCTGCATCACTGTGACTGTGTACGCACAGATTGCACGACTTGCTTGCGTCTGCGTTCATTCTTGAGGGCGAAGCAGCAGAAGCAGATGAAGAAGGCATGGAAGCAGGCCAGGGCGACGAGGGTGAGCGTGCGGATGCTGATGCCAAGAACGCCGACACCAAGGACAACAAAGACGACAGCGATGCGAGCGATGAGAGCGATGAGAGCGACAAGGGTGTTCAGGATGCGCGTGTGCGTGCACAAGCACGGAAGCAAGAGAGCGTGTTTGCTGGGACGTTGCGGTCCAAGGGATTCTTCTGGCTCTCCACGCGACAGCACCTGATGGGAGAATGGTCCCAAGCCGGGCTAATGATGTCGCTTGGGAGCAAAGGTGCGCCCATCGTGCTTGTTTTCCATGTGTATTTGTATGCGCATGTGTGTGTAACTACACGTGCGTGCATGCTTTACACGACGCCACCTTGTTCTTGCGTGCTGTGTCCACTGTCACACTTGACGTCGCCAAGCGATCGCACACACAGACGATCACACACTGTCACGCCTTCACGCCTTCACACACACCCACACACACACACACACACTCTCTCTCTCTCTCTGTGTCTCTCCCTGATTGCAATGGCAGGGCCGTGGTTGCGAGACATGGAGCCTGACATGGTTGCGCTCTTTGATGATGAGAAGGTGAAGCAGGACCTGGGCGAGAACAACGACGACCGGCGGCAGGAGCTGGTGTTTATTGGGGCGCCACTGAACCAGGCGCAGCTTGAGCAGGCTCTGGACGCGTGCCTTGCCACCGACGAGGAATGGCAGGAGGCCGAGCAGCAGGAGGAGCTCGAAGCTTTGGACGCAGCTCACAGCCATCACAGTAATCACAGTGGGAGAACCGAAGCATCGGTACCGCAAAGGCGCATACATGATCCTTTTCCACCTTGGGATCATGAGCATAATGCTAATGAACCTGAGACTGACGACGATTACAGTGATGGGCGATCTGAGGCACCGCAGGACCCTAGTTCTGCTGTGTTTGAAGACGAGGAGCGCTTCTAATCATACGAGACTTGAAGCCTGTTGGAACTGGTTTATTGGTGGCTCTGTTGCTCTCCTCTGCATCCTTGGCTTTTGGTCCAATCCCCTCGTTTGAGTGCTCACCATCCTTTTACCAGGACTTGTTCTCAAGTTGACTCGTCCTTGCATGCCCTCCGGTCGCTGCTCTGGCGCGTCGTGCTGTGCCTTGACTGCCTCTTTCTTTATTTCTGCCTCTCTGAGCGAGCTGTTGCCTTCTCACAGTGACCTCTCTCCCTCTTCTCTCACTCACTCACTCACTCACTCACTCACACACACACCCACTCTCTCTCTTTTTTTTCTCTCTCTCTCTCTCACACACACACACACTGTCCCTTCTGTGCCTGTGCCAATGCCTGCAGTGTGTCACCGTGCTTTCCTGGTCCAAGATCGCTCATAAACGACTGACTGTACAGTGTGTGCAAACCGCTCCCAATCTTCGCCGGCGTGGCTCCATCTATCCATGAACATGTACATGCTACTCTACACGCGACCCAGAATCTGCACAGACCAGTGTTTGCGAAAAGACGTGGTGTGAAGGTGGTGTTGAGCAGTACTTCTCTTGTGGTGTGTCCTCAAAGTATGCATGTTGAAGCTGTTGTCGAGGTTTTGTTGTGATGTCACTCGTGTTCATTGGTGGTTTGGAAGACTCGACAGAGAGAAAGAGAAAGCTGTGCGGGCAGATAGCGCGAGTGGACTGTTGTCAACACCGCGTGGTTGCCATCACAGGAGTAAACAAGAAGTGGGAAACCCAAGTACCGGAAACTAGCACGAGGCTCTCAATCCAACACCCCTTCAAACGCCATACAAAGAGACAAGCACATGATGCAGAGTGGACGACAGACACACGAGACAATCACAACGCATAAACCATTAGGAGTTGGTTGAGGTAGACCCTGCTGTGGGCCTGTCGTCATCAATTGGAGTCGTGGCGACCATGAGAAGGGTTAACCAGTCAGGGTCACTAGGTATTCGCCGTGAGGTCTGGATGTTGCTGTGTCTGTCGGGTGACTGGCGTCGGAGAGGTCGTGTAGCCATGGAGAAGAATGCAAGCACATGTTGATGTATGGCAGTTCGTTTTCGTGTCGTTCGGACCAGGTCATGCCGGTGTGTGCTGTTGCTGTACGCAATGCAGCAGCAGCAGCAGCAGCAGCAGTAGTAGTAGTAGCAGTAGTAGTAGTAGTAGTAGTAGTAGTAGTAGTAGTAGTAGTAGTAGTAGTAGTAGTAGTAGTAGTAGTAGTAGTAGTAGTAGTAGTAGTAGTAGTAGTAGTAGTAGTAGTAGTAGTAGTAGTAGTAGTAGTAGTAGTAGTAGTAGTAGTAGTAGTAGTAGTAGTAGTAGTAGTAGTAGTAGTAGTAGTAGTAGTAGTAGTAGTAGTAGTAGTAGTAGTTGTTGTTGTTGTAGATGTTGTTGTTGTTGTTGTTGTAGATGTTGTTGTTGTAGATGTTGTTGTTGTTGTTGTAGATGTTGTTGTTGTTGTTGTTGTTGTTGTTGTTGTTGTTGTTGTTGTTG